ATCAATAATTATTGAAAGAGAGATCCAACCATTTAAAATTTATCAAATTCCCAAGTGACGCTGAGATTCGACAAAAATTCAGCAGAGATAAATTTTAATGCTCATTCTTGAATTATAAACACAACTCATAAAAATTCAAATCAAATCAATCTAGTAAAGGTTTACCTAAGCACTGTTCTTGATTTGGCTAATTGTTCTGAAACGACTTAAAACAAAGCATATATGTTAGCACAGAGGGCAGGGGAATGATAATTGATACAAACTGTGTTTTATGCTTGCAAACCCCATACAAGGAGAAGAATGCAACTCTTCAATCGGTACCGTCCTTGTCTGAAAGCGCTTTGTCCAGCTTAGCAAATGGAAGGTCTGAGGCCGTAGCAAGTAACTCCGATTAAATCCGGCATAAGAGGAAACTGGCGGAGATGTCGCCGGCGGGAAGAAGATGAATGTTGGGGACTTTGGGTTGGGCTTTTGGGTTTTTGGGCCAAAGGGTTAAGTTTGTATGAACGGTTTTTGGTTTCTCATTTTGAGCCGTCAATGTTTTTATATTTTATTTTATTGATGAACGCCATCAATGTAAATTTAATTTTAATAAATTGCAGTATTTTTACAATTTTAAATATTACATATTTTATTTTAAAAAGTATTATGTAATTTAAACTACTAAATATGATATTAATTGCCCTCTTTATCTAATGATTATTATTTTATTTTTATAGTTTGAAGTAATTTAAATTCACTTTTTATTTTGCCTTCTTTTCTATTACAATGACTAAATTATTGTGTTCAAAAGAAAAAAATCAAACTTTTTAATCCGTGTTCTTTTATTAGGAGGGATATTAAGATTTAATTGTAACAATAAATATAAAAAAATACTTTTAAACTTAATATATCAAAAATTCTTTATTATCATTTCCTTTATTATCCTTTAAGAGTTATTAACAGATTGATCCAACAGTCGTTCATCCATCCATTGCTCTTCTGCAAGAAAGGTTCAGACAGTTGGAGAGAGCCAAGAAGATAAGGCAGGAGAAAGAGCTCTTACGGATGTTGCCTGAATCAAGGCAGATCAATGCAGCTTATGTGCCATACAGATTGCTTTTACACCTTGTACTCATGCTTCAGTCAGAGCTGCCTCTTCAGTGTACACTCAAAAGAGAAGCTAGTCTGCAGAGCATGAATACCCAGGTTCAGATCATTCAGACTCCAATGTTGGAGAATTTATGATCCAGAGACACTGTCATATGCACAACTGACAATGATGATATTTCAGATGTTGATACTTCACTTCATCTGTGAAAAAGTATTACAATGTTAGTCTACCTAGTAATCCTGTGGTTTCCTTCCGTTTGCTCTTCATGGGGCAGTAAGAATATGGGAACGAAAAGAACGAGCTAAAGAAGAAAACAGAATATGTAATGTAGCTAATGGCCATTATCTTATGTATCTTCAGAACTACAAAGCAATCAGAAAGGCAATTCTCTTATCTCTTCTGAAATGCGTTCTCATCATAGGTGATGTTATCCAATTTGTCACTGTTCCCTTTCCTCTTCATGAATTTGGGAATCAATCGAGTTCCATTTTTGGCCTCTGACATTGCTTCCCCATTGTTTATCTGCTCAAAACGAACAGCACTAACCTTTCAGGCATTTGCAGCTAATATCTGCACCAGGGACAACATTTCACTCACATTAATCAGTAATTCAATTGTGTGCTCAAGATTTAGTATTATTAGCCTATACGGTTATCACCTGGATAATTTATTTTCCAAAAAAAAATGTTTAAACTTGAATGTTACACAAGAACGAAGCATATGAATTATTATTATCAGTTGCTAAGTTTCTTTTAGCAAACTGAGCCACCAAATGAAGCATCTCATAGGATGAACCACATAAAAACAGATTCCTATATGAACAAATGCATGCCCCCATAATAGCATTGATTTCAGAAAGTTAAATGTGGAAGAGAGTTAAGAGACTGCATGATTGCTAGCTACATTCATTTTCTTAGTTTTTTCTACTGAAATCCATTCGGTTCTTTTACCCTACCTCAAGTCTATATATTTGATGCCTTTCCTTCAAATCTTGATGACCAGATCCATCTTCATCATGCTTATCATCATCATCTTGATTATCCCTTTTGAGGAAACTTTGATGCTCTTAATAGCCCAGGGATGTATCCAAATACTTCGCATACGAAACCCTATTCGGTCTGACACTGATGTTCCTATAAAACAGCGTGGCGAACAAATAACAATGAAGTAGAAATATGAAATTTAAAAGTTAAAGGAACATTTTGATAGTTATTTATAATGTGAGATTAACCGTGCCTTTACTTCAAAATGAATTGAAATTTGAAAACCACATTGCATTTTTAACTATTTACTTTATCCTCTCCCCTTTATCTTCTTCATTTGTTTTTTTTTTTTTAAGCAGTGGTCACTTAATCATAAAGCATAATAATCCCACAACAGTCACAATAAACAGAATTTCACTTGCAACTGGGATCAGAAATATCAAGTTTATAAGTCTGGCTATTTTTAAGATTCCTACAATCAACTACTATGTGGCAAAGAATGAAATTTTAATGAGCCTGTGGAAATGGCAGGAGAAGTATACAATACTAGAAATAATCAAAGGTAGAAATGATACTAATAACTGAGTCTTTAGCTTTAATGTTTAAATTCTCCATTCAGTGCTCTATACACCCTAACAACGAAAACCAGTAATAGTATAGAATAATATACCTCTGCCATTTTGATATTCAAGTCCTCAGCCAATAAATAGATGCATGGGCATGGACATCATATACTCCCTCTGCTCTCATTACAATATAGCCAGTTTTCTTCTGGATCTCCTCCTGTTAATACAATTAGCAGCAATGCATAAATTAAGAATCACTTGAGAATCATTATACATATGTATAAATGAATCACTTAAGAATCAAGTAGAGGTGAACCTTGTAACACTAATTGATATGAGACCTATAGAGTAAAGAAATATCTACATGATGTGAGAAGTGACATGAAATTCCTTGGTCACATGGAAAATACAGAAAAAGTACATGCCAACCTAAATGAGACGAGAAACCGGTGACATAAAGCAGCATCTAGATCAATTGGTCTGTAGAAAATTAGCAGCACATGTATAACACCAATTTGTTTTGGACTTCATCAACAAGTTTTCTTAGCATCCCCTTGCTGAGGAATAATAGAATCCAATATCTAAAGTTATCTATATAGTTCAAAGACTTGCCCCCAATAACAGATTCAGTAACAGAACATTAAGGTCATTAATGAGGTAATTAGGCTTACCTTTGAATCATTTTCATCAAAGATGTCTCCAACAATCTCCTCAACCACACCTTCTAAGGTTACTATCTGCTCCATCAAAAAAATGAGTACATAAATATATAAAATCAATCAGTCAATAAAATGAGCACAAATACTGTTAAATAAGCAATCCAAAAGAGAAAGAAAACCCATGAATGGTAAGTTCTAGACTTTTTGTGTTCTCATGCTGCATATTCCACTCGTCTGAACTTTAGAAGAAAAATTATTTCAAAACATATGAGAGAGCATTCTAGTTTCAACTGCAGGGAACTCCTCTGTCTCCTTTACCATGTTGAACCTGATAGTAATGTTACATGCCAAACCTTCTGAAGTTGTAAGATTTGAATAACATCCTAATGCTAGGAGCTCATGAGTTAAGGATTGAGGGGTCATACCAATCATTTAGATTTTAAGTGGTCAGCATATTATCCTGTTTGACTTTTTACCATCATTCGTTTTATACAGTTTATGTTATAGCATTTGGATACCAACAAACAATGAACAAATACTACTTCAAGTGGGCAAAAAGAACAAGCTAATAAAGAATAAGGTTTTGTCTTTAGGACTTTTAGCTGCAATTGAAAAAATTTTGTTTAGTTTTTTAGCCTCTTAGCAGGGGAAGCATTGTTAGCATCTAACTGTAGAATAAAGTTCAAAATATCAAAAATGTTGTCCCGTATTGTTTCAAGATATTACAAGTTAGCATAAGTTGACATGCGTCACAAAATAAAAATAGATTAAAAAGGCAGAAGTTGGAACTTTATCATAATAAAAAATTTCAACACAATGAATGATTCTGTTTAAGTAAAGTTTCAATATGAGGCTTTGCACATACCCCAACAGTTCTGCCATATCCATTAAGAACAACAGCCATGTGAACCTTTCTGATCTGGAACTCTCTAAGAAGATTCCACACTGACATTGAATCTGCAAAACCAATTTTCTAAATTTTACTGTATAGTTAATTGAAGTATTCTATTTTTTCCATTTTCTTTTCCCCTAGACAATAACTACTAAAACAATATATCAGTTTGCTGAAACAGGGTCTTCTTCACTTCAATTGATTACAAAAATCAAAAAGGAAATGATGTCTTGACATAAAATGTGGATAATATTGCGCGAAAATGGAGTAATTGCAATTAAAAAAAAAAAACAAACTATGCAACTACCTCAATCAACCAGTGGGAGTGTCATAAAAAGTTAGAAAGTGTTAATATCAACCCAAAGAACATCATTAAATATTAACTAGAGAAAAAAATCAAGGGTTACCAAGCACAAAGTAGGCAGGTTTGTTAGCCATGTCTCTCACAGTAGAACTTTCAAGTTGCTCACCCTCACCAGTTCCCAAAAAAAGAAATAAAAATCGAAGTGATTATAAATCTGCACGCTATGATATTGACATTGTTGCATATAATTGATACAAAAAGTTCTAATGATGGAAAAAAGGGTGCATCGAAGGGGGAAATTGCTGACCTTCCAAACAAAATAAAGTAGATCCATTGCATATGCAATGCCAACTATATTGTCAACACGCTACTCAAAAACAGATACCCTGTAAACAGAAATCTTTCAACAGGTTTCTTGAAGGAGACAAAGCCTTAGACATGAATTACCAATTCCCTGCCTTGTGAGTCACCCACAGACGTTGGAAATCAACAAGAGTTGCACTTGCATCAATTGCAACCATATCAACAAGGGGTGTCTCTACCTCTCTAACATGAGTATCCTTTATCTCCAATACATTTTCAATCATATCCTGCAAGGAATTCATAAAATTAGAACATGTAAACTGTAAACAAACAGAAAGGCACCTGTTGGCAAAAAAATTAAATTGGATTTCCACTAGAATCTGATTTTAAAACAGAAATTGCTAGAGAAATATATGGCAAGGAAAAGATATGTTCTACTGTAAATGTGCAACCAGAGTCAAGCA